GAATCACAAGGACAGTGTAACACAGAGCAGAAGAGTCATGGGTCCTCCACTGGTATTATCAATGTATCATACATAATATGTGGTATTATGGATTGGGTATCATGGTTTAACCCCAGCTGGCAACTAAGTACCACACAGCTGCTCGCTCACCCCAACCCTACCAGGCGGAGGGGAGGAGAACTGGAAAAATAAGAAGGTGCAACCAGACAGAGGACTAGAGAAAACAAGTTTCCTCCCAACCTATGTTGACAGAAATAACTATTTAGAGAGACAGCTGTCTATTTGTAGTGAAATTATGATCCAAACACACACATTCACAGTAAAAGCAAATCGTGATTGTTATTTGTGCTGTACATAAGTGATTCTAAAACCCATACTTCAACATGCATTCAGGTAACAAGATGATTTTGAACTACAGAACAGACATTTGGCTTACCCTCATTTGGTGCAGAACATTTTTAATTTCCTAAAGGAGCTAGCTCAGTATTGTATGTCATGAAGTCTTGTTCTGATTTGGCATGTCACAGATGTCTAATGTGCTTTTCGCATATCAAGTGTTCTGAGCCACTACACCACTTGCCATCACATCCGTTAAAAATCACGTATCCTTGCAACTTAGGAATGTCATTGTGTGCAACATAAAAATATAGAGAAATGGAAAGATTCCTCTCCTGTTCCCATTAGATATTTAATCCTATTCTCAGCAGAAGACAGAAAGCCTGACTCAATGGAAAGCATTAATTTATACTTTCCATTGGCTGCTTTATAGAGTTCAGAACAGATGTGAGGTGTAGCTGAAAAAGGTTTTCAGACAAAATTCAGAGCTTCTGCATCTCTCACGTTTGTGTAAAGCAAAACACAGCTTTAGAATTACAACAGAAATGACTGGGTATTTTTTCTGTCCATGATTTAAAGAAATTTGTGGTATATATGTATTTTTTATTCTTCATATACTTATTGAAATAATTTCAGAATCAAGACAAGAAGTGACTGTTCACAGGATCTGTACTTTTTATCTGTGTCATTAATGGATTGCCTAAAGACATCTAAAATTAATTCATGACTGCCATATCACATTAACCTACAGCATAAGAAGAAGGCTGCTTTTAAATAAAGCTGCACAAACAATACCAAAAGAAGTTAGCTACAGTATGTAAGCACAAATGTAAACACAGCAAAATCCCAGTAAGAGACAGGCTTAAAGGAGTATTACATTTTAGTTCATCAGGACATTCAGAGATCACATACAGGGAAAGTAAGTATCAGGAGAGAAATAAGAAATCCAGTGAGCTACAGTGAGTACAACTCCACTATATGGTCTAGCATTAACAGCCCCAAGTGAGGAATAGTACATAGCTGATTACCAGTTTTATAATCCCTACATACTTCCTATGCATATCTAGCGTGTATAGAAAGAAGCAAACTTTAATTGTTTCCCTTATCCTCAAACTTCGGAAAGAACTTATCTGGTTTAAAAAACTGCATACTCAATGTGGCTGACAAGGTGAAGAGATTTGTTCAGTTCTTAATGCTACACACCATTACAAATTTAAAAGATTTTTGGTGCTTAGGGTCTTGTCACTGTTCTTGTGTGTGCCAAAGCTACTTTGGCTAAAAGGGGGAGTTGGGAATATTTTCTCCTAGACAACCTGCCTGGCAAGCTCTCACATCAGCACTTGCAGTTTAACAGAGAAATACCCTGAATATCATGAGGATCATTTCTGTTAATGCTTTGCACTCTGAAGTACACATCTTTCTATGCATCTGAAAGTTTGTTTGTTGTTTCAAATTGCTATGAACCTGACACTAACATTATGGTGGGGGGAAAAAAACTAAACCAAACAACAGCTGATCTTTAAAATGCAAAGCTTTCAAAAAACACTTACTTTACACAGAGGCACACACTCCAAAACAGATACTAGAATCTTTAATTTAGGCCAAGAGAGTTTTCTGTTTCATCCAGCTAACATTAATGGGTCCTTTCACAACCCATTCCCTATGACTAGATCTCTCTCCACATGTTGCCTCCCTTAGCAGATACTGTGCAAGAACCACCCTGCCTGCATGTACCTTCTCTGTGCCTGAGGGTTCTGTTCAAAACTCAATCAGTTCCACAGGAATGTCTCATAATTCCTATGTTAGCTAATTAATCATAATATCTATTTTGAACATTTTTCCAATAGTGCAGATAGTTTTTCCCTTGACACGCAAAAGATACTTCAAAAATGCTGAAGTTCATTGGGCAAAGCCAAATAAAACAATCTGTCTAGACAACAAAAATATCATTAAGAATGAAAACAAAGGTAAATTACCAGAATGATACTTAATTTGAGTATAAATGAATAGCTTGTCCATTACGAATAAAATACCCTGCATTCTCCCTGGATGCTCCTTCTCCTTCTCCCTGGAGGAGAGAAGCAGTTCAAATCTCAAGTCGTAACTCCTCATAAAGCATACATGAAAAATCACAAATCATGCAAATACATGAATAAAATAAACAATAGAGCTCATTATCAGATTGATAAAGAGCAGACGTGAAGGCAACCTACATATTGGGAACAGCAGTATAAAATTAAAGCAAATTATCTTTGTTGCATTGATGCAGAAGCCAGGGAAAGGCTGCACGTGCTCATACTGGAAGCAACTATTCAGTAAGCATTCACAGAATCACAGAATGCTTTGGGCTGGAAAGGACCTTAAAGATCATCTAGTTCCAACCCCCCTGACATTGGCAGAGACACCCTCCACAAGACCAGGTCACTCAAAGTCTCATCCAGCCTGGCCTTGAGTACCTCCATCCACAACTTCTTTGGGCAACCTATTCCAGTGTCTCACCATCCTCACAGTAAATAATTTCTTCCTTATACCTACCTCACCGTCTTTCAGTTTGAAGGCATTATATCTTGTCCTATAACTACATGCCCTTGTAAAAAGTCCCTCTCCAGCTCTCTTGAAGGACTCCTTTTAGTACTGGAAGGTTCTATAAGGTCTTCCCAAAGCCTTCTCTTCTCCAGGCTGAAGAACCCCAACCCTCTCAGCCTGTCTTCACAGGAGAGGTGCTTCAGCCCCTTGATCATCTTCATGGCCTTCTTCTGGACTCATTCCAACAGGTCCATGTCCTATTTTTGCTGCAAGCCCCAGAGCTGAACAGAGTACTTAAGGTGATGTCTCATTGGTCTTCCTTTAAAAATGAGGGTTAAGTTTCCCTTGTGTTCATTCTTTAACTTAGTGAGAGTTTAATTCTATCACAGGTTTTTAAACTTCTTTTAAAAACCAAAACATTTAGATTTTGCATTGCTGTGATATCCAACCCTCACAATAGATTAAATGAACTCAACAGAAAAAAACAGAGGAATATTAAAGCTGTTGCAAATGCCAAACTTCTGTCTGGAACGCACATTGGCATGCAGTAAATACAGATATGTACCCTAGATTTACAGATTCTGGGCATTAAGTCCAACACTGGACTTGTAGAATTTCTGCATGGAAAAAAGGATACCTGAATGCACAAATGCCCTAATGTTGATGGGTATGCACACCATCATTTTCCTTTTTTTTCAACATACTAGTGCATGTGCAGCAGTTTTCTTTCAATTCATTATCTACCACAAAGCCATGGGCTTACAGTCAAGATGTAATCACATCCTCAATACAAAATGAAAAGAAAATCTTCTTGCCTCATTCAGATCCAATGCAAAACCCACACCAACTTCATAGAAAGCTGAACTGGGCTCAGCACATGCAGAGCTGTAGCACTGTGAGGCCCTAAGTGTACTAAGCTATGCTTGCTGCTCCCTCTGGACCCAATTCAGGTAGAATCCTATCTATGCAGTCACTTGGGATGAAGTTTTAATTCCCAACAAGTGGCCTTTAAGCATTCTTGACCTGCATTAATAAAAAAAATAACCTGAATGTTGAGAGGTTTTTTTCAGCCTCACAAATTCCCCTATGTGGTTCACAGCTTGGCCTCCTAACAGTTACTGCAGCACCACTGAAGCAACAGAATTAAAGGAACAACCAACCAGGCAGAAAACTCATCAAGCTATCATTTGGCTAGAATGGTTCCACATGCATTAAGCTAAGTATTTTGCCAAACTTGTACCCTTCTCCTGTGTCCTTTTATCAGCAGAAATTACAATGGTTTTATTTGCTTTGTCCAAACAGAATTTGAATGTGGATGTTATGCATCCACAAATGCAGATTTTTATCTGGGATAAAAAATTCATTTCATTCTGAATTTAAGAGGAAACTGGATGTAAGTAATATCTGTGGCACATTAAATAATGCATTAGTTACTGTTAACTCAGTTACAGTACTTTCTAGTGAAAACTAAAGGCTTTCTCATTTTAAAGCAAATAATTAACTTCAGGTTTTCTGAGTTTCTTGTCCAAAAACACCAGTTCATACTACAAAAAAAATCCTCTGCTTACAAAATAGAAATGACTGTAGCAACAGAAGGAGAGCAGAATCCTACCAGAACCACTAGATAAATAAAAGTGCCACTGATAAAGGGTTCCACTCATTTACAATAATAGCTGAGGAAGTTAGAATTTTAGAATTTCAACCACATATTAAGCCTCTTACAATCCTCCAAACAGTATGACAAACCAGGTCTAGGCATCATGTGCAACACTATCGATGTTTAACCTGACAATCTAAATAGATGGAAGAAAGCTCTGTATCTCAACTTTGCATTCTGGGCTCTTCTCTATTACTCTTCCTTCTGAAACAAAACTACTTCATTTTCCCTGAGCTCACCATGGCTTTCAGTTATCTGATTTTGCTATTTTGTCTGTCCTGTCCTCCTTTCCTACCCAATGCAAGTAACTGCTTTATAAATAAAAATGGACCTGAAATGATGTTTATTTAATAAGCAATCAGCCAGACTCACTTCCAGAAGCTTTCTGCAATCTGGTGACTTATTCAGGATATGAATCCTGCAGTCCAGCCATGACCATTGTGGCTATAATAGGCAAAAAGTAAATTCATCCAGCTCTTACCTGACCACGGTTGTGAAGACTTAAATCCAGTCCACATGTAAATTCAGTATGATGCTCAACTGTTTCCAGCAAAGGATTAGGCTTGGAGAAGTCCCAGAATCTACAGAGAAAATAAAAGAGGAAAAGGGAAAGAGAGAGAGGAAAAAAAAAATCAAACAAACCACAATTAAAGTAATTGAAAGGCCATTTCAAAAATATAATGCAAGATATTGACAAATCTGTTGCTGCCAGGATATTTAAAAAAGCAAACTCATCCACTTAGGAAACATAACAAATCATATTCCTGCAAAGCCATCTGCTGATTTGCATAAATTAAAGCCCACTGGGCAAAGCCATCTTTGTCTCCTGTTGCAGAAACTGAGATCAAAGCTGGCACTGAGGAGCAGTCTTTGGGACACTACTAAAGCAGAGTAAAAAAATTTAGGCTAAAATACTCGTTATATTTCTTGAGGGCTGGGGAGTTTTATCCCTGAAAGACATTAGCACAATTTATTATTTTTTCCTCAGTTTTTGGTATCATTAACTATAGGGTCTTTATTTAAATGAAAATGACACATTCATTTAGAGATCTCAGTCATTCACATTGTGTTCCTGTAAAACAGAATTTAATATTGTAATTTAATAACAAATTTGTACTACAGAGATCAGCTGCATTACACAGTTAATTCCACTAGTTCGTATTTTAAAAAGCAATTTTTGTTTCAAGCCTTGGTTGATAAAAAATACTTAGAAAATAGACATCTGAGGTGCTCTACTTCTCCCAGCTACTGTCCCATTAGACGTAATGTCCATGAATGCAATTAACAGCAAGGATAAGAGAGATATAAGAGTGGATGGGACAATGTATAGGTAAAAGACACCTCAGTCGTTAAAGAAAAGGATTCAGAATAGAACTTTCAGATAATAAAACACTGACAATACCCCATATGATGCCACGAATCAAAGATCAGTTCCTCTTTCTTGTGTTGTATATACTGTTTTGAAAAGTCCATAGGCTGCACAGCACAGCATATTTTGTGGGCTGGCAGCTGTAATCGAATTTTCTACAGTTCAAATTTTCCCACGGGGGTCAATTATATGCTTTATTACTTCTGTAACAATTACAGAGGTCTCTTTGCCTTGCTCTTATTGGGGAAAGTGAAAATACTGAACAGGAACAGCTGATTATCAGACTAACTACACTGAAAGAACTGTAAGTTCAAAGCGATTCAGGTAAAATAGCAAACACTGGAGCCAGCAGGGTCAGTTTGTTTAATATGTAGATGTTATTTCCTTCATAAACAAGGAGACTGGTGTCAGCACAATGGCTTTGTCATAGCAACAACCCTCTTAATTTTTTCCTAGTACCTGAGATCTAAGATAAACAATTTATTTTGCAGGAGAGAGGAGCAAAAGACCACCTCAGCATTTTCATCCTCCCACATTTGTTCCTAAGAAGGTAAGGAAACAAGTCTTGTTGTTTCTAAGTAATAGTGGTAGCCTTCCTTATCACACTAGCTCTCTACTAACTCTTGAAAGACAGATGCTTATAACTGAAAACTAAGACTAAAGGAGTTAACTTCAGAGCTACATGAATAAAAACTTAGAAAAGACTTTCTGATCAATTTTAAAAATAGTAGGACAATGTGGTGTTTGTTCTATAAAGTCTTGTTGTAAAAGGCAGAAGCAGTTTCGAGTTTAAGAGTACTGCAACTCAGTTCAAGTACAACAGACTGACTGGGAGCTTTGATTTTTTTAATATAAGAATAATTACTAGCTAAAGCTCAAAAAAATGTTCAGTGTCAGGACTGAGAACCATTGATGACAAATTAATGATGGCTCTCATAACAACTTTGCAGTCCAAAGTGAGAAACACTGTCTATAGCACAGCTTCCAAAACCAGCATGGTGACAACGATATTATATTCACAGTGAACCTCCATCACATTCTGAAGACTGAAACAGCACTGCAAGTTTCCTAAGACACTGTTTACCCCAGCAGGATGGCTGTACAGGCATTCACAGCACAAGCTTTGCAAGTGCTTGCATTACTTGAATTATGTCTACACAGTCAGCAGCATGAACTTAAAAAGTGGGCCAGACAACCACATAAGATTTTAGGGTCCATTACAGGTCTGTACAGCCTGTACAATCACAGGTGCGTCACTTAGACAGAACTGCTATTTTTACCCATATCATGTACATTATAACTAGAAGTCACAACTTCAGTCACATCTGCACTGACTGAAGATACCCCAAAACCTATATGAGTGCAGTTTCTTAAAATGTTTTTACACTGGAATTGTTAAAAGTATACCTTTCCCCTCATTTTTTTAGTTTTTTTTTAATTTATTTTACATGCACTTCACATGCAATTAATAAGCTGCGCATATATTCCAAGTGGACTGCTTATTCTAAGCAAGGCATTATGTGAAGAGAAAAAGCCTGGATTTTGTACTTCGTACCACCTGTTGCAGAATCATGAAGCCCTGTGCTCCCCTACCAAAATACTTTTAGAACCCAAACATTGTTTCTCCTACCTATCTCCTACCTTGTCCTCCTCCCCACTCTACCCTTACATCCTGCCCCTGCGTCTTCACCGCTAGCTGGGAAAAAAGGCAGCAAGTATCATTTCAGGTTCCAGCGTCTGTACTAGGTAGTACGATGCATGTTGCTGCATGATGAGGAGCTAGCAGATTAGACAGGTGGTGAATTAATGGTACATCTCCTACCTTCCTTAAGGCAATACTTTGGATTATATCTTACTACAAGGATAATAAAGATAATTAACTGAAGTGAAAACCAGTTTTTTTTATGAGCAGCCTTATTCCATAAGATTTGTGATCAAAGTTACTGAACTTGTACATGGTGATGAAAAGCTGGAGACAGTGGTTTACCTTAAAGTGTGTCGTAGAGATGATGTCCAGTATAGTACAATTTTTAACAAAAGCTGCCTTTTTGCCTTAGGGGCAAGCTTCTGTAAATACAGTTCAAGATCTGGCCTGATACCAGCTTAATGAAGCTCCATAATTTATCAGATCTTCTGTGTAGATTTTGGTGAGCACTGTCTGTGCCTAATGCACCAAGATTTCTTTTTCATAGTGAAGAGTCCAAAAACACAAAACAGTTATTCCAGTAAAAGATGGCTCTGATGTTCTTCCAAAGTGAATTTTGATAGAGATAATGTTTAAGAATATGCATGCAGACCTAAAGAAGTCCTGGAAATGTTACAGTACTTTGTGCATTTCCTGGCATTTTAATGATTCGTTTGTGTTAAATCTGCTCTTTAATTGACCTACATTTTTTCTGAACTCTTCCAAAGAGTAAGGAAATTGCATAGAAAAAAACTGTCTCAACAAAGCATTTACTGGAGAGGGGTTAAATTCAAACCATTATACCCAAGTACGTAAAAACTTTTTCTTAGCTCCCAGTATGAAGTTGGCATGTGAACTAGGTTTCTTTTCAGTAGCTTGACTACAGCGCACAGATGCAATCACTATACTGTTTGCAAAGGATAAAGCTAAGCATTGTTAACTTTCCTTTCAAGCTACTATTCTTTGCTTTTAGATATCCAGTTGTGATGATGTGCCAAACTAGCTGTTCTACCTGAAACAAACAAAACCCCTGCCTCTTACACGGTAGTTTGGTAATCTGATCTAAGATGTGCTGTTGTCTGGTCAAACTATAAAGCTTCAGTAACATTTAATATTATAGAGCTTACATAGTAGGCTATGCTATATCCAGTTATCTGCTATAAGTTAATGCTTGCAGATAATTCTGAACTTCAAACAGAAACATTAAAGAATATAAATGAGCAATCGCATAACTAAACTGCTATTAAAAGAACACTGAAATGAATCTGTTTCTAAAGGACTGCCACACCATGCTGTTCTATGAATTGCTATCAAATGGAAATAAAAAGTCACAGCCCTTCAGTAGGTTCAACAAGATCCAGAATCCATGTACTGGAATCCCTACTTCTCTTCTGTCTTTTATATATTTATCAAGGATTTTTATTCTTAAATTTAAATGTATTTATATGTGTGCATATACTCACCTCCACACACCTACACGTGTGTGGTGTATATTCATGTGCATACATGGCAGGATGTGGGCGTGTATGTGCATGTAGAGTGTATGGTGCATCCAGTCAAACTCTGAACATTCCTAAGTAAACTCTACTTCTTACAGTAAGCTACATTCTTTTCTGTAAATGACAGTACAGGATATGTGACAGAGGTACAATATATTCTTTAAAAGAGATGTTCCCAAAGTCTTATGGTAACAAGTTTCCTCCATTATGCAGAATAGTTCGCTTGTGACACCTTTTTCCAAAGACTTTCACCTGGCCTTCTCTGTTGTTTGTTCACTTATACCAAACCCAACAACTAATAGTTTTAGAAAACTGTTAAAAATCTTTATTTCATCTCTTCAACCCTGTCCTCTGTCCCTAGTCACGACAAGTAATTATTTGGACAGAAAAATAATGCCTAGAGTGAATTTTGTGAAGAGGTCCCCAAGGTCTGCATTTACAGACACACTGTTATGTGAGCTAGGAGCTCTCTGTCTTTACTGACAGTTTCCACATATGAAAATGTCAGACCTAAATTGCACTAGGTTTCAGTACCACATGAATTGCGTTAGAGCCAAACCTGAAGGACAGACAGTTGCTGTCAAAAACAGGAAGAGCATGACAACACAATCAAGTCACTTCAATGCATCAGCATGCTGATTATTTGTCTTATTGCTCAGACAAGGCCACTGGAAGAAATCAATAACCACTTTTCATCTTAGTCCTAGAAGTCTTTTGAGAAACAATACACTGCAAACCAGCTGGCAGAGCATCAGTAAAGCATGTTAAGTAAGATCGCATAAATAATCTTCCACAGACCACTAGTCTATGAGAAATGCATTTGAAACACAAACAAAATTAAGCATTTTATGTAAGACAGAATGTGGGTACAGCGGTCTAGACAGTTATATGCATATGTACATCACAGTACTTACACTGTCAGGCCCCTAGCAGCAACTACATGCCAGTGGGTATCACTGGTAAGGGACTACCTTATTACAGTAAGCAAAATAATAACAATTAACATAAAGAAATGTTCTCAAGCACTTAAGTCCTTTAGTGAAAAAATGGCATGCCTGTGGGGGACAGGTGTATTATATAATCTCACCATCCAGTTCTAATCTACAACAAAAAGGCATAATTTTTGAAAGGAATAAGCCCATGTAGGGACCAAAAATTTAAGGGAGTAACTGGACTGGGAAACAGACAGATTTGCCATTATCACCACCTGGCCTTCCTTGCCTCTCTTTCTTGAGGAGTCTTTATTCATTGCAGCACTCCAGTCTTGTGAGTGGTTCCACCATCTCTTTATAATCCCCAAGAGGCCATACCTCTGCTGCCACACATGGACTTCTAATTCCCCATTTCTCTCCTTTGCTGTACTCAGGTGTCAGGTCACTTTCACAGGTCACAAAACACAAAATGCAAAATCCTCTCTGATCCTCATGCTTTCATTCTCTTCAGATTATAGTCACTCTGCCCCGATACCCGCCCTGAGTCACTCTGCCCTGAGTGTCATTTAAAACACTCCTCAATAAGTTAGCAAGCCTGTTGGCAAAGATGCTCCTACCCTACATTATCAGACAAATCTTGTGCCTGCCTCACAGTGCCCCATCGCTTAAAAAGGACTTTGTGGTTGTAAAAGACTAAGCTCTGCTCGTGACACCAGGTATGCAGCCAAGTGTTGACTTGATGCAGATGTCTTTTCCTCTCTGAACCTTTCTCCTTCACTGTCAGGATCAAGGAAAACACCACCTGAGCTCCCAGTGCCATGTAGCCACACTTGATATATTGATGATCACCTCTTTCAGTAACATAAGAACCATAAGTGAGAAAAGGAAGCGTTCTGAATCTGAACAAACCTTAGCAGTTTCTCCACAGCCTCCTGGACCTCAACCCAAGGGAGGCAACAAAACCATCCAAGATAGCAAAGTGTGTTAGCAGACACATACCTAGAGAGAGAATGCAACAGGAAGCAGTCTCCAGTGATAATGCACATTTTTCTTTTGGTGCAGACACTTGATTCAGGCTCAGCTGATTCTGACACCTTTCCTGACTGAGCCTGGTGTTGCTCATCCACTTCCAGGGCACTAAATCTCTAGCTCCAATGTGTGTTGCCAGATGTCTCAGATCTCCAGCTTTTCCCATCAAGAGAATCTTTACCCTTATTCTCTACTGCTTGAAACACAGTCTCTAACTGTCTCTCCTCCTTCCTTGGACTGTGGGATTTGGGCTCTCACCTCTCAAGGATATCTGTAAAGACCTGTCAATCTTGCACTCACGATCCTTGATGGTGTACAGATTGCTCATCTCCTCCTGCAACTCCTTCCCCTCAGTACCTCAAAGAGAATACATCTTCCACAGATGACACCACCATCACCCTCAGCCTCAGGAAGAGGCATCAGGCATTCCCCACAGCTAAGACATAGAAGGCAACATCTCTTTAGTGCTACTGAGGTTGCCAAGGACAGCTGCTCCAGTAACTCTGTCCCTGTGAAATGTCACCATTGTCACTGTACAATGTCCAGCAGTACCTCACCATCTATAGCAGAGCTTCAGAGCCCCTTTGCACCCCTGCATGCTTCTGTTAGCTGCATTCTGGGAGCTTCAAAGAAAACAGAGTGTTCCAGCTCTTCCTGTAGAACTTCCGAAAATAAACAGAATTCCTACAATGCTTACAAGGCTAACTTCATGATGTAACTTTATATATGGCACAAGACTGTACAGATTTATGATTTAGAAACATGTACAAGCACTGAGAATTAGCAAGATTTCCCTCTGGAAACAGAACCTTTCTATGTCTGGTGTCAGACCACTAAGAACACAACCAGAAGTGATATCAATTGCTATGATTTGGACAAGTGGGATAACTTTGCAGTTATCCCACAAGTGGGATAATTTTTGGAGGCAAGAGGGCTTCTCCCATTTCTAAATGGGAGTCCATGTTAGAAATATACATTCAGTCCATGTTAGAAAATTAAAATATACATCAAAGAATGTGACTGAGATATTCAGGAATGTACTTCACAGTTTATTGACTTATGATAGTGTGTATCTTAGAGAAATCCCACTATCATATTACACTTCTTCAGGTGTTTTTCATATTACACTTCTTCAGGTGTTTTAATCAGCTTTAAAATTCTCAGCAGTATCAGATATACTGGGCAGCCAGGGGAACTCGCAGAAGTTCCAGTGCATTTTCAACATAGTTTATGAAACATCTGATGGCAACATTAACTGCACTTCAGTATGTCCTCTCTAGAACTGTTTTCTATCACAAGCCACATTAAAATAGATTATCTTTCTATTTTTATCCAATTAAAAATAAAGTACTGTACCTTACAGTAAAATCATAGGAGCAAGAGGCCAATAAGGTTGCATGGAATGGTGAAAACTGCAAGAAAACAAATCAACTTTTGAAGGAAAAACATTGTGAATATATACAGACTTACTATAAGTAGAAAGTTATCAAAGTTCAACTATATAAATGGTCTTGGCAGGTATCACATCGTGCTGCAACAAAACAGACTACATCAACAAATTTATCTACCATGCTTCTAATGACAAGAAACCATAGAATCGGAGAATTAATAATCACAAGGAATGCTCTGTGGGATCCTGGTTTGTTTTGATTTCATTACAGCCGTGCCAAACAACTCTGCTGTACATGTAACAAGTTCTAGAACAGTCATACAAACAGTTACTAAATTCTGCTTTTGGCTGAGCATCATCTCATTATATAAATCAAGTTTCAAAACAGCTATGTGACCAGTTAATTATTTTCAGAGAGACAAAATCCTGTGCCCTACTGCAGAGAACATAAGATAGATTATTGTCATCAATTCTATATCCTAAAATTTTGAAATTGTTTATAGAAATGGGAAAATTGGAGATGAGTGGAAAAACTGAAGGCAGTATAACGTCACTTCATGATTTCCCTCTCTTCTATGGGGCATTTTACAGGGCACACCCTTTGACGGACTCCTGCACACTGGTCTAAGAACAGCAGCAATAAGGATGCAGTTATGCAAAAATTTTTCACTTCAGCTCCAGCTTTTTACTAACTCTCAGTTTCCAACTATTTTAAGGTCTGTATTTCTCAACAGGAAATACACAAGCCACTGACATAACTTGAGTTTGAAATGCAGGTCCCCCACATCATGGATCATAGGTAAGTCTACCTGCAAGACTTCTAATATTATTCATAGCAACTACAAAGTCAAAAGTTAAGTCTGGGCTATTGCCGCAACTGCCCAAGTTGCCAAGAAAGCAGTGTATGTTAATGGCTGCTGAACTCTGCTGAAATTCCCTTTACTGCAGCAGAACTGAAGGATGTGCATGATTGAACTTTAACTCCCATTTTTCTGGAGGAAAAAAAAATATGCAAAACGTCTTTTTCTTCTGCACCTAACAAAATCAAATAATAAAGGGGAAGAAGTGTGATGGGCAACAAAAACCAATGGTACACTTTTCATAAACCCCCTTTGCCTCTTTGTCCACATAGTTTCAGATGAAGCAAAAACATCTTGTCAAGGCTTTGTCATTAACCTTAAGTATCCTAGAAACTTATCTAAGATGCAAAATACGTAGCAGAGCGCTATACACAAGTTGAAAGAATATGCATAATGTCTTTCTGCTACAAGAGATCGTATTTTAAAATTCTGTTCCATTTAACAGTGATACTACAATTTTATCATCTGAACAGTTGTATATAGACAGAAGACACCAGCATATCATCTATCCTGACCTTGAACAGATCATTTATCCAAATATCTTTTTAGGTAAACTCAAAAACCATAGCTAGGTGTCAGTGTAAGATACTGAAGGCGGTTAAGATGTGAGAGTCAAATGCACCAATATCAATGCCTCCTGAAAAGGGCTCCAAATGATGTCAGTGTCCTGATAAGGCCCTGTACCGCAGTGAAAGATCACAAGAAATCTGCAGGAATCCCAACAGTATCATGTTGGGTAGAATTCTTTGCCAGCCTCAGATCTGAAAACCCCTGAACAAGTGAACAGAACACAAAAGACAGACAACTGAAGAGTTTGATTTCATGGTTGGTTTAAGCTAATTTAAGAGTTCACTGCTGCCAAGACTCATGGCTTCCATTTTCCTTTCCACTTCGGGCTGTGTGCTCCTGCCCTCCTCCTTTGTGTCAAGGCTTGCAATTTGTGTGGTTGAGCAATAAACTGAGACAGCTTAGTGATGCAGACAGAAACTAGTCACTTTTAGGGACAGGATTTTCAGTCAGAGCCATCAGATGAGCCAGCTTGCTGCACAGCTTTATAATTGCTAGTGTCAGCACAATGTAGGGGAAGGGATATCAGCAGGGAGAGCTGCCTCTATTTAGGCAGTATCCAGGTCTCTCTCTGCACCACCTCTAAGTGCTGGCCCACATTCTCACATGTTATGTCCACAAGGACCATGTCTACCTTGAAATGGAAGCAAAGAAAGCCTCCTAAGATGGAACAGAAGTCATGTACTCTCACATACCTCTCTGCTGCACATGGATGCATGTTCAGCCTTTCCACCATTGCCTTAAAACCACTTGGTGGTTTAGATCTCAGAGGATGGTGCAAAGATCTACTGGTGACCAACTTTTAATAAAAATTTCAAGCCATTTTAAGAAAACAAGGTGCATGATGGGCCATAAAATGGAATAAGACAGCATAAGAATATATAAGATCCCCTACCTCGTGAGGTTGACAATCTTTGAGCCCAGTGCTTGATGTTTACATGGCATTTTCAGTATTTTAGTTTATACCAGTTACCTCTGGTCCTGTTACCAAATACCACTGGGAACAGTCAGGCTTTGTCTTCTCTATTTCCCCCAATCATTCATACACAGTGGTAAGATTCTCCTAAGCCTTGCCTTCTTCACACTAAAAAAATCTTAGCTCTCTCAGCTTTTCCTGGTAGGACAGAGGTTTTAGTCTCTTAATCTTCTTTACGGCCCTTTGCTGAATTTATTCCAGCATGTCTATGTTGCTCTCCCTTTTACTGGGAATCCCAAAACTAGACCCAGCACTCCATACATAGTCTCACTGGTGTGGTGAGTAGCAGGGAAGGATCGCTTCCCCCAACCTGCTGGCAGTACTCTTCCTAATCCAGCTCAGGATGAAAGAAAGCACAAAAATTAGAGGTGCTATCCCTGCCTAGTTCTTCCAGTATCTATTTATCAACTAGCTGCTATCCATGAACCCGATGACACTGCCTGCCTATGCAGCCTCTTGTGCAGAGAGCTAATTCAACAAGTCTACAGCCTGACGTGTAAGAGAAGTACTCCCATGTGTTTGTAAACACATTTCAAAAGTTTCATTGTATCCTTTAGTTCTATTATCACAGGTTAGGGTGAATAACAATTCTGCATTCAATTTCTCCATTTTTTCATGAAGACAATGTGCCGTGAATCCCTTAGTGGCAGAGCTGTTTTTAAAAGATGCCACTAACCGTCAGAGAGTAAGAATATGACAGTCTGTATTGATTCATTTGTCTTAATGGCTGTGAAATTCGAGTTGCAAAATTATCTTGTTTAAAAAACAAGAAGAAATAAACAAACTCAAACAGCACTGCTAACTGTTCTTCTGCTATGAAGAACCTTTCACAGAGCCAGATAAGAGTGTGGTCATGCAGGCATTAAATTAGAAAAAAAGACTGAGCATCAACCACCAGTTGGGATAGTAGGCTGTGGTAGCCAGGATAAGGAGAGGCAGGAGCTTCTCAGGTTGTCTGACCACGAACAGGATTTGTGATACAGAATGACTACCTGTGTCATATCCTTTTCTGACAAATTACAAACTAAGCACAGTAACTTCTAAAGTTCTTAGAAACATATTAAAGATTCCAAGGTCATGTGAAGCAAAATACTGACTCAGGATAACTTCTTTTCCAGTTCAGACTTCCTAGAAAATGTTAATACCTGTTCCAGAAAGGCTTTAAAAGAATCAGGTGTTATCTCCCTTTTCATGAGACTTTGATATTGGTGCATTTGACTCTCACATTCTTAGCTGGCTTCAGTATCTTACACGGAAACATAGGTGTAGTTTTTGAGTTTACCTACAAAGATATTTGGATACATATTTTCATATAATATTAAAAAAAAGCCATTGTGCATCAGAATAAATTCCTGTTGGTGGGTGATCTAGTAGAACACAGATCCAATATAGTCATCTGTAGCCTTTCATGCTAGAGTCTCAAAATCTCTTACTAATATTTTCTTTGTATACAGAAAAATACATATTCAGAACAAGTTCTATATAGTGTCGTCTGTGAATATTGACCTTTTGTGTGGAAAGACAAAGGCACAGCATCATTTAAAAATAAGAAAGGGAAAGTATTTTCTCTGTCTCCAATTTCTCATATAACTTAGCTGAAGTAAACCTCCTAGCCCTCTCTCAGGCTCTCTAACACTCCTTGTGGAAATATATTGACTTTGAAGATGTCATTTACTTTGAAATCCTGGCAATCTCCTAAACATCATAATGTTTTACAGTGCTAAACTGAAAGTTTTCAAGAACAGTCACTGTAACACCTAAAATCCTGTTTTTTTCCTAGTTATTAGATAACATAAAATATCACTGCTTTCCAGAAAAACTTGGTTAACAATTCAGTGATGGTCAATTGGAAATAAAATACAACTTACTTTTACTCTTCTGATAGCATAGGTATGACCCAGCAAGACGAACACTGGTTGCCGGATGTTCCGCAAATCCCAGCCTTTTAAGCTACAGTCAACTGCACCAGTTACCAGCAAGTTCTGATGATTTGATAAAACACAGATATACCAGGACAATTTAATTACTAGATGGCAGTGATGCATATGTTGGCTACAAAAGTTAGATAAATCAAACAATACAGATGAATAAATCATATTTATGATAAATGAGGTCAGGTCTCCAGTGTGTACATTAAAGACCATAGAGAAATACAAACTGTTTCTCCACTACAGGCTATTCTGTCCACTATACGAAAGAATAAGCAAAATCTCTGACCTACTTGGGCTGTCTATCCATTGGAACAAAGCTCTTCTGGAGATGTAATAGTGAATGAGAGCAACAAAGCACCTAGACATATTTTTATAAAGAGAAGATGTAATATTGTTGCAGCAGAAACACTTGCTATTTAATGAGAGTGGTTCAATTAGGAAAACAGTGGGATGAACAGTTCTATACCTCATCATATTTGCACCAGTCACAGCTCAAGATCTCAGCCTGGTGGGCTGGTATCACAAGTTTGACTCCCGGGGCTTTCACATCCCAAATTCTTAAAGTCTGATCACCTGAAATATAGAGAAATTGATTCAATGTTGTTGCATCAGTTATGGGATACAGTTAATCCACTAGTACTTAGTAGACAACTGTTTCTTAGCTGCATGAAATACAAATGACTATATGTGGACACATGCCAAATAAAGCAAGCACATTACAGACACAGAAGTCAGAGTGATGCAAAAAAAGGTATCTGAACTTATTACTCTCTTTCATTAGAAAAAAACACCACAACTTCACTTTATTACTAACACTTCCATTATTTTTGAAACTCTGATTTGATTAAAAGAAGATGTGTTAAAATACTTGAATAACATTTAAATCAAACTAGGAGCTTAAGGTCCATTTAGAAATGGACTTAAAAGATCAGAATCACAAAAAAAACTTTACTTGCAAGCCAGCTGAGAAGTACCACCCAGTCACATGCTTTTGGCACAAAGAAAAGTGAACTGTATCTGAAATATCAAGATTCTTTCAATAAAAGGAAAATTCAAGATGTATCACCTGTACTTGTCATGTACAAAGCCTGCAGTTACTCTCATTTATTGAAATACTGGACGATAAAGTCATTCTACTGTAACTATTACAGATACGAAAGGCAACATGTGCTTTAACCTTGGAGCACATATACACACACCTGCATACACACACACAGGTCTTCAGAGAGCAATGAAAGGAGTCCAGCTTAACTTAAGAGCTATGAGTCATCTGAGCCTCTCTCTTTACCTCCAGCCATAAATGGTCTTCTACCCCTAAAGATCTTTAGAATTCTTATAAATTTGGTTCCTAATGGCTTGTGAAGACATAGAAAGCTGCATCAGCTGACAAGACAACTATCCTTCTCAATTTTTTAAGTTGGAGTTCTTTCCTTAGCCCTGTATATTTAGCTTTGTATCAGCAAAAATGGATTTTCTAGCTCATTAGTTTACAGAGAGACAAAATTAATTAGAATTGATGATTATGCCTATGTTTATTTAAGAGAGAAATTATATCATTGAAGGCTGTATCCAAACACCCGTGATTTCTACAGGAACCATGTATCAATACTACTTAAATTAAAAAAACCCACTGTTTTACCTTGCTACTGAGGAAATTATTGGTATTTCCTTATTGGAAACACTTCCGGAAATTTTCAAATTTATTATGATCAATAATTAATATTTTCATGCTGTTTACATCCAAGTATTTTGATGGTTTTAGTGTCCTGTTGGTCACTGGCCTTAGAAAATACAGTTGGGCACAAAAAATTATAGTTCTTTTCAAAAAATCATCCCTAGAACCACAACAGTAATACGTCTATTGCCTGACCTACCAGGCCCTGCAGACTTCACAAAAACACATAAAACATTTGGAAAATTCGAAAAAAAAAATGAAGGTGGAAAGAGCTTGGTGCACTACATGTCACAAGACTGGTCTGACTGTTGTACTACACAGATCACGGAGAGCTTTGCTCTGGTGGTTGGTTGGCTTGTCCTCAGATCTCATGACTGTGAGAGATACTATACCATTGGTGGATAAATTCCCCGTCTGCAAGGTGGGAACAACATGTTATTTCTCACTGTTTTCATTGCCCTTGCCTACTGTCAGGAGGAAGACTGCTGCTCAGGACATGTACAGCACTCCTGACAGTGACATCCTGCAGTCAGCTGAAGCCTCACACATCGCTACAGTGCTTACAAAAACAGGGCAACATATGGAGGGGAAGAAACATGGACAGCAGGATCTTGGCACAAAAAGGTATTATGCCCATCCACTCACCATTAGTCTTGCTAATCTGCTTGCCTGCAGAAGACAGATTTCAGTTTGAGTCTTAAGTCTTTCTGAGATATTATTATGGGCTTCTTAAAAAGCTTTTATTTTAATTTCATCAGATAACATATATTTGAAGGGGAAACACATATTTCACTGCAGACAGGATCATTTTTTCCAAGCAAATAAATATATAAATCCAGGTGAACTAGAATGAACTGCTACAGAGATGCAGCATTATGAGGGCCAAAAACATTTGAAAAAGTAGGCTATTCAGCCAATAACAATTTTGACACTAAATATACAATTGTTCCAATTATTTCTTTTTTAACAGAAAATGCTGATGCATGAGAAAAATAAAAAAGAGAGTTATTTTCCTTTTTTTAAACTTTCTTTGAAAATGCTAGACTTAGCTGTTATTAATTCTGACTGGCACTATCTGGGAAATGTTTTTAATGGAGTAACACAAAATGCAAGTGAACCTTTTTGTGAATGGAAAAGAATGAATTAAAGCCAAAGGCAAATCCAAATTTTCCTTTTAAGTGGAAACATCAGATTACTTTAAAAAAACCCTAACACTAACAAACTTTTTTTTTAACCTCAAACATGTTTCCATTACCTCACTATATGTATATATATATATATATATATTTACATTTAATTTCAACAAAAGCTGCTCTTAAAAATTTTGCCATTTCCATGATTCCTTCAAATCTGGATTACTAAGGATGTATTTCTTCCCTATGGTAAAGCAAAAGTAGAATAATAATAATAGAAAGTGCAAGTAAAGCACACCTAGTACAATCATATTCACTAACAGCCACTTCCAGTTCACATCCAAAGTAAGCAACCACAAAAGTAGCCAACATTTCCCCCCACAAAATATTTCTATTTTTGTAATAAGCAATTTCACTATGGCAACAGATTTTTGCTGGTCTGTTAGATAATTATGATTCCAGAATTGTTTGTCTATTGTACAGGCTTCTTTCTTTCTAATGAATATTTGTGAAATCTTGGATGAATCAATAAAACTACACAATATACACTCATCTATTCAAAATTTTCCAAAGAGATGCTAATCTACAAGCATATCATCCTTATACATAGGATAAAGACTGCTAATGTGAATGACAATGTATAATAGTGAAAAGATAAAAGTTTATTTCGGATTTAAATTTTATGTAGGTTTTATACCAGCTTTTTTACTAACAGATATATTTTACCCAAATCCCTAAATCACCATCTCCTAAGTCCTGTGAGAACAACCAGCTAAGAAGTCATTGCCAGACAGTGAAGAAGTACAATATTAACTATAAAAAATAGCTAGGTATTTGAGAGGTTAGTAAAACCCCAAGAAACCTTAAACACTATCTGAATGGAAAAAGGATTCTAACTAGGACAGGTACAATGTTTTTGAGGAACTAAAGTACTGCTAGCTCAAAGTTTTACTTAAAAAAAAATGAATCTGGGTTTTGGGTTGGTTTGGGGGGTTCTACGTTCTGAAGCAAGAAATCTGATCTTCTTACACTGTTCCCTAATCAAGGAAAAAAAACTACCAACAAATAATATATCTTTAATTTACTGTAGGAAAACAATAATATATCTTTAATTTACTGTAGGAAAACAATTTAGCATAAAGGACACAAGTACTGGCATATATTGTTTGGGTTGAAAGGGACCTTAAAGATCATCTAGTTCCAACCCCCCCTGCCATGAGCAGGGACACCTTTCACTAGATGAGGTTGATCAGAGCCTCATCCAACTTGGCCTTGAACACCTTCAGGGATGGGGCATCCACAACTTCTCTGGGCAACCTGTGTCAGTGCATCACCATCCTCACAGGAAAGAATTTTCTTCTAGCATCTAATCTAAACCTACTCGTAGTTTGAAGCCAGTACCCTTTGTCCTGTCACTAAATGCCCTTGTAAAAAAACCAAAAAAATCTTAAAGTAAGTACTTCTGCAGTGCCACTGAACAACTACAAGTTAACAGCACCTGCTTACTTGTCTGTGTTTTTAAATACTAAACCAGATTAAATTATTTAGTCCAAATCAAATAGAAAATCTGTGGGAGAATTAAAAGCAGAACCCAAATCTCATGACTCTCAGAAACAACCTTTTTATGTATGCTAAAGTGATAGTGCTGATCATTTCTATCATAGATAATTGTCTTGGTTTTGGCTGAAATAGAGGTATTTTTCTTCCTAGTAGCTGATATAGTGCTGTGCTTTGGATTTAAGACAAGAATAGTGTTGATAACACACCGATGTTTTAAGTCAAGGACTTCTCAGCTCCTCAGAGTGCCTTGCCAGCAAGGAGGCTGGGAGTCAGAGTCAGAATATCTGACCACAGCTGATCACAGGGTATCACATAACATACGGCATCATGCTCAGCATATAAAGCTGGGGGAAGAAGAAGGAAGAGGGAGATGTTTGGAATGATGGCATTTGTCTTCCCAAGCAATCATTATGCATGATGGAACCCTGCTTTCCTAGAAATGCTTAAACACCTGTCCACCCACGGGAAGTGGTAAATGAATTCCTTGTTTTGCTTTGTTTGCATGCACAAGTTTTGCTTTGCCTATTGAACTATCTTTATCTCAACCCACAAATTTTCTACCTTTTACCCTTCTGATTCTCTCCCCCATCCCACCATGGGGGAATGAGCAAGCAGCTGTGTGGTACTGAGCTGCCAACTGGGGTTAAAGCTATACAACAATATAAGCAAACCTAGAACAGGACTAATAAAGGTCATGGCATTCCACACAAAGAGGCAGAAACAGAGTGACACAAATAGCAGCTTTACTTAAATCATCCAGGAGTACTACCAAATGCACAAAATCTATTTCCATCTTACACAGCAAGTAAATGTAACTACCAGTGGAAACATACTTTTCAACTGATCATTAAAAATGCTGTCAAGCTAAAAATCAAAAAAGTTTTAAGTTATTTCAGAGAAGAGCCCAACAGAATCTTTTCCTTAAAACAGTAGATTAAAAAAAGAAAATATTAGTAAAACCTTTATTTCAGTGTTTTCCAAGATGATTAAACTTAAATCTTGGGAAAAAAAATTTATTTCAAAATTTACCAAAATTATGACATTATTAAACCATTCTTCATCAAGTGGCAATATTGGCTAGATACTTAACTGTAGTTTAAATGATCCAAACCAAATTAATTTACTCTGAAAAACTGTTACTGCATATTTCTTCTCAACAATAAACAATTTTAGAATATGAGATTCTAATATAAAATATTATAACC